TCCATAAAATCAAGGTCTGTATCTTCTTTTAATCCTAACACCACTTTGGATACAGCCTTACACATCCTTTTAATATATAGATCACTTTAAATAGTTTTCCAATATCTTATTTAGCATTTTAATAATATCTGGTACATAATTTGCTTTTGTTGAAAGAAGACATGGTTCATATTTTTTAAAGTACAATTTACAAAACTGTATTTTATTAATATATCCTCTCTACAACATATTACGACACATTAAGTATATTAGTGTCAAAAGTAATTTTGAAAAGGTATTAAGAATAAACATATTCCAATCCTATCTTTCAAAATATCACTTAAAAGATTAAGATAATGGCAAAACTTAGGCAACATACAAGGGAAGAAATGGCAATTCAAATCAGTCATCATCTTTTTATTTAAAAAATAAGGTGAATCACATGATTCCTGTAGACATCAGTCTAGTATTAAGAAATATCTCACACAAATCTACATATGCCTAAGGGAATTAATTAACACATGATAAAGACTAATACTGCAACCATACCATAAGTCTAAAAAAAATTTAAAGAGGCCTCTGACTCAAGGAAAATCAAATATTTAGAGATATATACAGTACCAAAGTAAGCAACCAAAGAGAATTCTTGGAAGAACTTAAATTCTGTTAATGAATCTTTTATATATGTATATATATACACATGGGAGGAGGAAGGGACAAAAAAGAGAAAACATAGCTCTCAATATGGACAAAGAAACAAGCTCATTCAACACTCAACAAATGTCTTTCAAGCACATACCGGGCACAGTCTGAGGCACTTGAAATCTATCACTGAACAAAATAAGCAAAGATCTTTGCCCTTGTGAAGACTATGCTCTGGCAGGAGAAAAATCTAAATAATGAAACAGCATAATTTCCCACAAATTTCTTATATGCTTAGGATAACATAAACACTCAGATAAATATGATGATGCCAATACAGAGAGAAGCAAAGTTAACAGACTGCTCAAAAAAAAAAAAAAAAAAAGAAAAAGAAAAAAAATCTATAATGCTAAGAGCAAAAGTTAGATACGTGATGAAAAATAATTATTTCTTAATAATTCAATAGTCTGACCAAATTGACACAATCTTTTGAATTTCCCCAAATTATAAAAAACTAAAATATTATTTACAAGAACTATAATGACCCGAATAGGTCAGATGATAATTCTAGGTTCTTTAAGAACCCTAAATATGCAACACCACTTTTTGTGACATTAAAGGCAAGAGTTGGAATTCTAGCCTTATCCATTAACTAACCTTTACGTTTTTTCATCTATAAAAAAGAAACAGTAATAGCTCAAAAGGCTTTTACCTAGATTAAATGATAACCAAAAACTATAAATAACTGAAATATCAAAAAGATAAAGTACAAGGTCTCATCCTAGAAAAAGCACTTCATTGGTGAATATCACTACTATCACCTTCTAAGCACTCCCCTTAGGAAGCTATGCATCAAGGCCAATGCCTAGTCCACCCTTCAAAGCAATTTCAGAACTCTTTTTCTAGAATGGACAACACAGCTGTCCTCTTATGAGGTCTGACAATTAAGTTCAAGAACTCATCCTACAAAAACTGCTTTGAAGGGCACTGGCATGGGTGCATAGCTTCCCAAGGAAAGGAGTTCAAAGGTGACCCTGGTGATATTCAGCAAAAGGTATGTAGCACTTTTCCCAGGATAAGTTCATGAACTTAACTGTCTGACCTCATCAATCAATTTCTTGGAATAGTACTCAGCAATAAAAAGGGACAGACAGATACAACACAAGGCAAATCTTAAATGCATCTACTGTGCAAAAGAAACTAGACACAAAAAAGTATATGTGAAACTAGTGGTAGAGCAGGACTGAGTGCAAGAGCAAAAAGGAACTTTGCTTGATGTTGGAATGCTCTATATGGCTGTCAAGCATTTGTCAAATTCATAAAGTTCTATGTTGTAAATAGGTACATTTTATCGTATGTATATTGTACCTCAAAAATGCTGATTGCAAAAAAGGATTAAATGAACTGATCTGATACATGTGAAGTCCTTAGCACAGCATGGGGGACATAAGTTATCAATAAATAGTTGACATTATTAAAAAACCAACTACCACTATACAACATCCATGGGAAGGTGGCAAAATCACTGATCACCTGATTTTTCTGTTTAGATGCTTAATAAACATAAGTTTACAAAACATGATTTAGACCAAGTGCCATGAGGAGCACTAGAGACCACGTTAAAGGTCAACTGAGACAAAAGACAATGAAAATAAGGAAGGGGAAGAAAGGAAGTTAAAGACGTTTTGCTTGCATGTTCACAAAAAATTCAAAAAGGCTAAGAGAATGATGCATTCATAAACCACAGAGTGCTGCCAATGCCAAACAACACCTAGATCATCTCGTCTAGGCATTGTCATGCTGTAACTCAAAATTGAGTCAATGACTATGTAAACACAGTCTAAGGATAGTTTAATAGCTACACAGAGCATAGAAGCCTTAATTTTATGAAGGGAGAAGGGGTTGGTTGTGGTCACCGAGAGCCATTCACAAAGGCTTCCAAATGAAGTCAAGGGATTTTGCCAACCAAGCAGGAAAGAACAGTTTAGAAACACCAAGCAACAACCATAGACCCATAAGCCAAGGTTTTGTTTTTTTTATTGAACCTGTGATTAAAAAAACTTATAAAGATACCTAATTAGAATATCTAAATATGAGAAGTTAAATTAAAATAGAATTCAAGTGAAACACAAAACATTAGTGAAATTTATGTTTTACTGCTGCTTAGAAACCGTTTATCAAGGCAGATACTTTTCTTAAAATACATAATTCTGCTCAATAACAGAACTCTTATAAATAAGACTGGAAGAAATGATTGGCTGTCACTCAAAGCAGCACAAGCATTCTGGCGTGTATGTTAATTTAAAAAAAAATCAAGTACCCCAATTGGACATTCTGGGAAGCAAAAGACTTTAGACTAAAACTTAACTGTAAGGGTATGTTTAGTTTGGGTTTGGTTTGAAGAATCTCTACTTTTAACATTTAAAAGGCAGAAAGGATGGGACAAAGTCAGTAGTTCTTGGTTTCAACTCCAGTTCTATCAGAATTTGGATTTCCTCTTCCTTAAAACTGGGCAGTTGAAGCAAGCTACCAAAAAGAATCCAAGTGTAGCCCTTATGCTCTAGACTGAAAATCACAAGTTTTACTGAAAAAAGTTAATAGTACAAAATTGTGACAGATATTAAGCACCTATTTTAAATACAACATAACAAAAACTAATCTGCAAATGTTCTTCCTAAATTAAGACAAAATAACAAAACATATGTTGCAAATTAAGAACCACGTATGTTACTGATTACAAAGAGTAAAATATGTTCCAGGGGTTAACTGTTCATTCTAAAACATTTCTTGACAAATTCTAAAATAATAAGATCCAAGTAATCACATACAATACTGATACTTTCAAGACTCATAAGCCACCTTTCTTTTGGGGTCAAAATCCTTAACAGAAATTTCCAAAGCTGTGTTTTTAAAAACTTAATGCAATTAATTCTCTTAACTATCCTCCCCAGGGGAAACTGAGCCAAGTTAGGAACAAATTTTATTTAAAAAACAAAGAACAAAAACGAAACAACGTTCACATATGACTCAGCTCTAAGCCTTAGGCACAAACATTGGGTTTTGGGTTGTCTTGCACATATTTTTTAAAAATTAAATGTTCATACTGATGCTACGGCCATACTAATTTTCTCCTGAACATATAAGATTTTCAAATAATCAGACACCAAAGAGAAACGTGATTAAATCACAGCAGAAAGTAGTAATAACAGGCTAAAATAATGAGGTCAGAACTCGACCAGCCAATCAAAGGCACAAAAGCATTTCCTGCAATATTAATAGTCAAAAGAGAAAACCAATCACGGAAACCTCGAGCTTTCTTTTGACAGCCACAGAAGCAAGAGAACCAATCCACACACACCCGAGGTTGACAATAAGGCGGGACGTAGGTTCATTGAAGAAATTCTTGAGGGTGCAGTTACTATGAACTTCGCACGCAAGTAACACCACTCCAGAGTCATAAACACTCTCTGTCAAGAAGAAATTCAACCATATGCAAAATTTAACCCATGGGGGGTGGGTTGGGAAGCAGCCTTTTTGCCAAAAGGCACGATATTATCAAAAATGCAATTGTCAATTTAGATTTACTACATTCTCAACTTCTAAAGGGACAACCCTCCCATGACAATTTTCGAGACGTAACGCGGGGACCGTGCAGTGCCGGTGGCAGGTTCTGGAGCATCCCGGGTTCCTTTCTAATGCGCACTGAACGAGGGCCGTCCTGGAGAGGCTGGCAGAGCTCGCCCGCCCCGCGCCCGGCGCCCGGCTGTGGACAGCCGAACAGGCAGCAGACGGCTCTCTAAGGCTACGTCCCGCTCGGCAGTCACGGCCTCCCGCCCTCCCCCGCCGCAGTGCTGCACCGCTTCATCCCGCTGCACCATCTCTGGCGGGGGAAGCAAAGATGATTCCCTTGCTAGAAGGAAGATGTTTGTTTTGAAAGCACTTTTCTTTCCACAGTCGTTTCAAAGAGAACCCAATGCAAAATCAAATTTAAAAGTGGTTTTAGCCAACCAGTCGCTCTCCATCAATTAATCCCGCACCAAGGAGGAGGGGCGGAAAAAAGGTAAACAGAGGCCGTACGCCAAGAGCGGCCAGCGCTTCCCCTGCGCCATTCCCAGCCGCCGCTTACGGCAAGGCCCCCTTACGGCAGCGTAAGCAGCGCTGCGAGCTAATCACAACACTGGGACGCAACAACATGGCGGCCGCGGGCGGGCGCTACGCCGGCCGAGAGTTTACGCTACTCCGCCGGCGTAGAGTCCCATGTGTTGGAGCGGCAGCGGCGCCCTCCAGCGAGCGTAAAGCGCTCTGTGAATGGCGAGGCCCGACTGACAAAGGGGAGGGGGGAGGAGAGAAGGGGGGGTAATAAACACTCGAGTCCCTACCGATTCCTCCTCCTTCTCCATCCCGGTGGGCATCTGGGGCACGGCCCGGTTGATGGAGACGCAGTCGTTGAGATCAGGCATATCCTTGCCGCGGTAGATGGGCAGCGGTTTGGCGGCGTCCAGCGCCCGCGCTCGGAAGGAGAGTTTACTCATTGTCTCCCCGCCTTACAGGAACAGCCCGGGCGGCGGCGGCGGGGCGGGCGGGGAGGGGGGGAGGACTCCCGCCGCCTCCTCCACCTCCTTCCTCAGTGCAGCGCGGCCGGCCCGCTCCTCCTCCTCCTCACTACCCCCGGCCACAGCATGGGTGCCCACCCCGCCCGAAAACAGCCCCCCGCCGCCCGCGGCCGTTTCCACACACTAGATCCGCCGCTCGCCCGCCCGCTCCGCTCCCTGCGCCATGGCCAACATGGCGGACATTACCACAGCGGCGGCGAGCGATCCCGACAGCCCGCGCGAGAGCGCGCCCCCGCCGCGGGGACGCGCCTCGCCCTCTCCCTCCCTCCTTCCTCTCCCTTCCCCTCCCTCGCCTGCCCACCCACTCTCTCCGCGGCGCTGCCGGCCCGCGGGAGCGTGCTCGGCCTCGGGCCGCTCGGAGGAGAGGGGGAGATAGCAGCGGCGGCGGCGCCCCTCTGCTCGCCGCCCGGCGCCCTTGCCCTGTGGCAGGTGCCAGGTGCGCAAGTTCACCCGCGCCCGAGAGCGTGCGCTTCTGCCTTCGCTGCCCCGGTCACCCCGCTCGTTGGGTGCCCCAAAGGAAGGCGCTGGGCAAAAGACGGAGGCGCCGAGCAGCGCGTGTGTGCAGAAGCCTGAGAATGGGAAGGGAAGATGTCGACCAGGGCCCCAACGGCCACCACCCAAGCCTGTACTTATAAAGCGCCAATCTCCAAGGCGCCTCGAAGGCAGGCTAATTCGCATCCTCCACCTCGCAGGTCCCGGGGAGCTGCGAAAGGTCCCTTCTGTCTGTCCACTCGGAGAGGCGCAGCCCTCCCGCGTCTAGCCCGGCCCGAAAACTCTCCGGCGGTCCCAGCCCTCTTTCCCGCCTTCTCTCTCTAGTACCTGTCCAAAAGCGCTCTCAAAGTGAGGCATCCTCGCTCATCCTCGCCTTCACGGAGGATGGTGGCAGTGAGGGTTAGTGGTTTGAGGCTGATGGATGCAACAAGTGAACTTGAACCTGTCTCCTAAACTTCGATGAAGTTTTTTAGTGGATGGTAGATATTTCTCGGATTTCAAAAATACCATAGTTCTTAAAAGTTCAACTTACACATTTAACCAAGGCAGTTTTCCCAAAGTAGCAGGTGTGTGCAAAAAATATTGGGTGCTGTGGAAGACGAAAAGAAGTCTAAAAAGTTACTGTTCTCAGGGTGCTTTCACGTTAATAAGCTGCCTGGACAGTTTGAAGAAAAAGCAAGTACATGACAACCCCAACTCCCCGCACCCCAAGCGTAAATATGGGAATGAAACAAGATAGATGGCACAGGCAGCGGACAGTACGTGATTAATTACGAAATGGGGTCTACAAGCAATAATTGCTGTGAGAGTTCAGAGAAGGGAAACGTTAATTTTAGCCTGAACTGGGTAGAGAAAGTTCTAAAGAGGAGGGAAAATCAAGCTGACTTAAGTACCAGCTGTTGTTGACATCAAGATTGCTTAGCCAAGAGTTTCCGGGTTAGTCTTTAAGCATCATAGATTTCTTACAAAATCCCTACGAAGAATATAACACGTTTTACCGTTTTTCTACTAATCGGTAAATATTTTGCCTACCTCAGAGAAAGGTAGATGGTTTGCTAAAGTCCAACAGTGAAAAAATTAATTCTAGTGTCATGTCTACATGAATCATAACTGTATCTCTTCCTCTGTTGCCTCCTTTTCTTCCATTTCCTCCCCTTTCTCTTTTTCCTGTTCTTGGACTTTGCTCTCCACCCCCTCCTCCTTTAAAGGAAGAATGGTGATACCGACTTCATGATTGTGCCTGAATAGTACTGCATATAATCAGTTTGTCCCAGCAAGACTTGGAGCATTGTTTAGGGAGGCTTGAGTGTTTTCCACCCACTTTGTTGTTGGAAACAATGGAGATGTTGTGACTCACGTTTTGTAAGCAATACCTTCCTCAAACTTAGGGGCACTTCCTGCCTTGAGTGCTGCCCTCTGGAACAGTTCCAGCCCTCTGCGAGGAAGAACAAGAAGTTCTTGGGAGGTGGTCAGTGCTAGTTCAAGCCTAAAAGGGGGGAAAGAAGCAATGAGTCATCCAGGGCTTTAATCTGGTTGCCCCACACCACTTCTCAAGTTCAGAAAGGATACCTTTCTTCTAGTCCCTGTATTTATTGTTAATCTTTCTCAGGGAAAGTCTCAGGAAAGGAAATAGTAAGTATAATATACCAGCCATTATAGTGGACATTCATATATATATTTCACACACGCACATATATATAAGTTGAATTCCACTTAATTATTATAATCCAATGGAAGAAAGAATAATATTGATAAGGAAACAGAGCCTCAGATAATTTGCCAAGTTTCAATTCTAATAATTTCCAGAACTGGGTTCAAGTCCAGATCTAATCTGACTCTAAAACTTGTTTTCTCAGTGGTACTACCCTTTTATCCAAGGTCTTCAGGGTATCAGCCACCCAGTGTTCTAAAGTTGCTGATTCAAAGTTAATTACTCAGACAGACCTTCTGAACAATGGCTAATAGAGAGCATAACCCAGAGCCTATAGATGCACTAACTCCAAGGAGGGCAGGAACAATATCTATTCTTTTAATCACTCTATTTACAGTTTCATGCCTCAAGTACAGTAAGCATCTAAGATACATTTGCTGACTGATATTCCATGAAGGAATTCAGTGATACTAACCCCATCCCTCTCTAATTTGGAGTTCACGTACCTTACTGTCCTGTGTCCTGATCTAGCCATTATTGTCAGTATTTGCTCTTATTATGGCCCACCCTGTTCTCCAGCTTCCTACCTTTGGACATAGGAATTTTAGAACCAATTAACACAATTTAAAGATGTTATGTTGAAACCTGAAATTGAACTACAGGACTGGATTTTTGTGGTAGCAGTTGTTTTGTTACTGTTCTTTTACTTTGACCATGTAAAAGAGTTCTTCCCCAAATCTCCATTTCCTTCTTGCCCTGTAGGCAAAGATTACAGAGCTGGGAATAAAACAGTTTGAAGCAAATAACACTATCTTTTCAGCTGAGACATGGCCTTGTTTTCTTGGTTTCCAATTCAGTGTCCAAACCAGAATGCCTAGATTTCACATTTAGAAAATCGCTTTCCTTTTAAATATTACATTTCATAGGGTGAAGTTTATTTCTAACATCTATTTGTTGAATACCCATATAATTATTCGTGCTAAAAACAGAAAATATCTTTCCAACTTTTGAAGTAGATCCTCTTCTAAAATGTCTTTATCAAGACCTGCTTCAAATGGCTGTGCAGTCTAATTTTCACATACAATGCACTAAGTACAGTCATTCTAAAATCAGTCCACTTCAATATGGTGGACCAATTCCAAATGACATGCCCAGCAAGTGCAATATGTAAGTACCCAAGAATTAGAACCAGTTTTAAAGTCATCTCGAAAATACAACCACTGTCTAAATCAAAAAAAATATCAAGTAACTAAGAACTGGGATTATATTCCCGTTTCCGTGCTGTCATCAGGGCACACAGCTTCCAGATAATGGACAAATTTACTTTTTGAAAGGAATCTTAAACCTAGTAAACACAGTTGCCATTCAACTACTTCAGAGTTTTGTAAATGTCACGTTCTTTTTAATTGGCTCCTGGTTTCAGCAAACCCAATTGAAAGTTAATTGGCTTGGTATGTGAACTGTATCGCCACCCCTCCCCCTTCTGTTCCCAGGAATGAGCCTTGCACCAATAAAGCTTTGTTGTTTTCCATATGTAATCTGAACGTGGGGTCTGCATTCATTGCAATCAGCTGGACTCAGTCCTGCGGTTCCAGTGCCCTTTACTGAGTCAGCTCTGAATCTTTGGACCATAGGAACAGACTGCACTGACAGGTGACAAGCCAAACATGTACTTCTACCTCTACATTTGCCACAGTGGGAATACCAGATGGTAAATAAAAATTTGTGGCTGTGGCTCAGTCTCTTAGAAGCATCGCTTCTCTCAGACCCGGTTGGAATCACAGGGTGCCACCTTGTGTATAAGCTGACGATTTACTTCCCTTTTCCACACAGGATCCAGATAGACTAAAAAAAGAATCAGCCTGAAAGTTCTGTATTTTATTAACTAAGAAAAAATGAAACAGATGTAATTGAAGGAAACAGATTTGAAAACACAGATCCTGAGGGTCTACAACACCCAGTCCTGAACCACACCGCTAGCCCGTCTCATCTGCTGCCCCACGCCTGACAGAAAAACACATCCAATGTCCCACATTTGGACTAGACTGATGCCACTCACACAGGCTTTTGGATGGGGATACCAAAAATAAGTACAGCTCTTGCGACAAAGCTAATGAATCTGACTTGGACAGTTATCTGTGTCCAAACAGCAAGTAAACTACGTAGATTTAATTTCAGAATTTTGGATTTCTAAGAGGCATTAGATTCCATTGAGCTGATCCTAGTCAGTAACATACATGATAGTGAAGTTTAAAAAATGGCTGAGTTTGAAATGGGAATACAATTGTTGGCACAAGACTATAGAGGTAAAATAGGATCTTTTCCAATCCAGCTCCCTTGCCCTTGAGAAATTCCACTCTTGGAGGAAACCTGCTCTGAATTCAGCGCAGCTATCCTTCAGCTGAAGTCACTGTTAACATTCATGGAACTAGCTGGACCTTTCATGCTATTTTCAATAGGAAGTTGGAATGGAGATCCTGCTGCTGTGGGGGTTGCAGGTGCACGCCCACTGTTAATTTAGGTGTTCTGAAATGTTTGTTCTTCTAGCTACCTCATCCACTGGCACATCCCTTTCTCCTCAGGCATCTCTGAGTGCTAACTTAGAAGGTTGTTTCTGTCCCTATGAAGGCAGTTTAGTCTTACTGACTTGCTGGCACATCTTAGCCAATAAACAGACTCCGAGAATGAAGCTCACTAGGGTCCATAATGCTAGCTACGAAGAATCCATTGTTAGGAAACCTGGGTTGCTATCTAAATGTGGATCCTCCCAATCTATTATTTTTTAATCTGTCCTTCCAACAAAGAACTCG